GCCAAAAAGTCAACTTGCTAAAGAAAAAAAATATAATAAAAAAATATATAAAAAAATAAGACAACAGCGTTAAACCTCCAGCAAAATAAACAAAAATGTAATTTGCGCCACTTAGCAGCAAATGGACAGTGCCATTAATAATTCCATTTCAGTCGTTTTTTTCCTGCCTTGCTCTTTGCTATTAGGATGGAGCCGCGCAGATAATAAGGAAATATGAGTTTGCGGCCAGGACCTTGGCCATTGCCTTGCTTTAAACCTGAGCAGGAAACAAAAAAATAGGAATTAAATAATGGCAAGAGCAAAATATTAAAAGGAAACACGAGAAATCATAAAGCCTAATATGTTGTAGGGTCAGCAATTAGAGACTTGTTTGTCTTTAAATTAAATATTTAATATTGCTTAACTAGAAAAATGTTTGAGAAGGAAATTGTATAGATAGACTTCATACTCTAATTAAAGACTATTTTTGGTTTGCTTTGAAAATGTTTATACATTTTTAGCTGTCATATCTTTAACAAAAGCTATTTAACTTTTAAGTAAAGCAAACTTTTTCGAGGACCTTTTGCATAGAGATTCAATTAAAGTGACAAACTGTCAAAATTTTTGTGACATGGGCGCATTGCAAAACCGAATGAATACCCAAAGGACAAAACACAGAAACACACACATACAACGCCCCCACACACACACACACACACACACACAGAGAGATTACAATGGACAGCATTTTCCAGTGAACAGATATTCATACGCATTCACATGGGCATTCACATGCATATTTATGGGTAAATGCAAATGTCTGTGGTCGTGGGTCTGGCCCTTTGAATTATGAAAGCTAATTGATGAAAATTGAATAATAATTGTGTCAAGCTGACAAGAAAAGTGAAATTCCAATGGCTGATTTACGGCGACCAACACAATTCGGGCAATTCCACAATTCCACGCAATATCTGCGACATTTATTCATAATTGAGCAGTTGGCGGAAGTTCTTATAAGAGCGGTGGCACAGCCATCAAAACGCCATTTGGAGACATGGCTGGCTGCCCAACCGTTTTGCTATTACTCAGTCTCGTGGCTGGCGTTCGGCTGGCAGAGTTCGAGCCGGCGGAGAGGACGGCGCGGCTGCAGAGCCGGCTGATGTTGGAGTTTGTGGTGGGGCACAAACAAATACCGAGGTTAACTTACTTCACCTGCCGCAATCCCGCCAGCAATGACACGGGCAATGTGCACGCCACTCGCGCCAACCTGAAACAACTTTACGCGGCATTCGAGGCCAAGAATGCGCAGCTGATTGGTAGCCTCTATCGGGACAACGTGCAGCGCAGGCCCTTTGTGCGGATTGTGATGCTGGATGTGCTGCATCAGCCGAGGGGGAAGTCAGGCAGTAGGGGCTGGCCGCGCGGCAGACCGGCAGGCGGTGGCGGAGGCGGAGTGGGAGGCAGATCGGGCACAGCTCTCGGCACAGCTTCAAGCAGCGCCGATTGGTTGGACAGCGTGTTGAGGGTGGAGGCGCTGCGGCAAGTTGTGGCCGTGGATTTGGCATGTGGCATGCTAAGTCGTCGTTTCCTGGAGATGGTAAGTGGCACGGACAGGCGGTAGCATGTCCTTATGCATATTGAGTGCTCAGCTGCAACTATTTGCAAGGCTTCAGCCAAGATGCTCTACAACGATAAATATCACTGGCTATTGATTGAGGATTATGCGCTGCACGTAAGTGCGGGCGTGATGCGGCCCCAACAGCAGCTGCATCTGATGGATACGAGCACAGACACGGATACGGATGAGCTAGAGCCCATTGAAAGCTTAATGGAGACCCTGAACTTCTACATGAACACGGAGCTAACTCTGGCTAAGCGAACGCCCCAAGACGCCAGCTATTCACTGTACGACATCTGGTATGTTATGTGGGGGGCTGGGACGGTCTGTCTCTGGCACTGCTAGGAACAGCTGTCAGTTGTATTTGCTATTGACTTGTTGCTACTGACAGTTAGTGTTAACGAGAAGTGGGTGCTGCAGCAGGAGCGTAACTATGAATGTCTTTGATTGGAATAGCATTAGGATGTTCCCATTTTAGACAGGAATTGATTTCAAACATGAGACTTGAAGGCAAACGAAACAAATTTTTAGACTCATTAAACTAGGGTATTCATTTTATTTGATTTTTTTTTTTATAAATATAACTTAGGAGTCCCGGTCGCACTTACGGCGGACATGTTAACATTACGGAAATTGGCAGCTTCACGTTGACAGACGGACTGCAGCTGCACAGTTGGTTTCGCACCACATCGACGCTGCTGCGTCGTCTCAACATGCAGCATGCCCAAGTGCGCTGCATGGTTGTGGTAGGTGTTTGTGGGAGGGGGAAGTGGAGGGGGCGGGCATTGCTAACACTCGAAAGCCTTGTCGTTGACAGGTGACCAACAAAAACATGACGGGCACGCTGCTTTACTACCTAACGCACACGGTCTCGGGCCATATCGATACAATGAATCGCTTCAATTTCAATCTGCTGATGGCCGTCCGAGACATGTTCAACTGGACGTTTGTGCTGTCGCGCACCTCCACCTGGGGCTATCTGAAGAATGGCCGCTTCGATGGCATGATTGGGGCGCTCATACGCAACGAGACGGACATTGGCGGTTCGCCCATTTTCTATTGGCTGGAGCGTCACAAGTGGATCGATGCAGCCGGCCGCAGCTGGTCGAGTCGGCCGTGCTTCATTTTTCGCCATCCTCGCAACACACAAAAGGATCGCATCGTATTCCTGCAGCCATTCACCAACGATGTTTGGATATTGATCTTGGTGTGTGGTGTTGCCACTGTGTGTATTCTCTGGCTATTGACCACCCTTGAGTGGAAGCTGGTGCCGCAGCAGGGTGCAGCGCTCATCAAGCCAAAGGGCGGTGCTCCACGGCATCATTATCATCACCATCATCATACTCTGCAGCAGCAGCAGGCACAGGAGCAGCAGCAGGAGGTGCCTGCATTGGAGAATGATGATGTCTCAGTCGCCTCATTGCATTTGCTGCCAGTGGTCGGTGGATTTCGACAGCGCTGCTATGCGAGACTGTGCAACTACATCAGCAAGCGTCAGGCATTGAGCAAGAGCTCAACTCGCGAAGGTCTCCTGCTGGAGTCCGTGCTGTTCTTTGTGGGTATCATTTGCCAGCAGGGCTTGGGCTTCTCCACCAGCTTCATCTCGGGCCGCACCATTGTCATCACCTGTCTGCTCTTCTCCTTCTGCATCTATCAGTTCTACTCGGCCAGCATTGTGGGCACGCTGCTCATGGAGAAGCCAAAGACTATCAAGACCCTGAGCGACTTGGTGCACAGCTCGCTGCAAGTTGGTGTCGAGGATATTGTATACAATCGCGATTACTTCTTGGTAGGCATTGGGCACAGCTAGAACAATACTTGATGCTTGTTTGCAAATACTTCACAGAACACTAAAGATCCCGTTTCCATGGAGCTGTATGCCAAGAAAATTACCAAGGTGCCATCCAACAATGAGAATGTGGGCGGCGCGGGTGGCGAGGAGGAGTCAGAGCCGCCGCCACCTGGGGCTGATGCCAAATCATTTCGCGATATTGTGCACAGTCATGAGGTTGGCGCACACGCCAAGGAGAACACAGCCACTAATTGGCTAGATCCGGATACGGGCTTACGCCGAGTCAAGCACGAACGTAAGCTGAGCCACATGTGCGGTAGATAGACTGCAAATAATTTTCTATCTAGGCTTCGCCTTTCACGTGGATGTTGCGGCTGCCTATAAAATTATTGCCGAAACATTTGACGAGCGTGAGATTTGTGATCTGACTGAGGTCAGCATGTTTGCCCCACAGAAAACAGTCAGCATAACCCAAAAGAATTCGCCCATGCGCAAGGTCATATCGTATGGGTAAGTGAGAATGCTGAAAGCCTGGCAAAATATTTTAAAATTTGATTTTACTTTGGCCAGCCTGAGACGTGTTACAGAGACGGGCATCTTTTCCTATCAGTTTAATATTTGGCATTCGAGGAAGCCGCCCTGTGTGAAGAAAATTGAGACATCCGATTTGCACGTGGGTTGCCAACAAAGTTGGAATGAGTTTATGTTTTAAAGTACCTTTACTAACAGGTGGATATGGATACCATAAGCTCGGCGCTGATAATACTGCTCTTTAGCTATGGCGTTGCTCTGTTGGTGCTGGGCATTGAGATACTTTATGCGAAGTGGAAACGTTGGGAATGAAACGAAATGCAATCAAGACGAAAATTAACTTTAGCTCATGTTCGTAGTATATATGTATATGTACATGTATATGCTTAGTATATGTTTTGTTCACGCCTTGCGTTCGCTTTCGCGTTTCAATTTAATTAGCTGCAGCCAAAGTCAACTTGAATTTAAATTCTGCGTAAATATTTCACGTATTTGTCAAGCAGTGAAAGTTTAATTAAGTGAACTTTCCAATAGAAAATGCCTGAAATACCCCCAAAGTGAGTTTACATAATTAAATTTTGGTAGTCAGTGTCGCTGTTTGGCATTCAAGACGGCGTCAAGGCTCTTGTGCTAATCCAATTACAATTGTTTAATTGATTCCATTTCATTTGCGTGGCTTGAGTTGGATTAGCAATCATTGCGTATACGACGTGTGACACTGAACTAGAATTTAATTAAGTTAGCCTTTGCTCAACGCAGACTCTAAAATCTAATAAGAACTATGCTACTAAAATATTGAATTTACTTATGTAGTTCACAGGCTGACAGCTTCATTGCCAAACAAAAAAAGAAAAGATTATAAAAAAGAAGAAAAGGCAAACATATTCAACAAATAATGCAACAAGAGGGTAAAAGAGTTTTCTTTCTTTTGCGCTAGTTTTTCGCTATGTGCGCCGGGAGGCAAGCGAGCCAGCTCTGGTCGGCCGAGTGAGTCAATTTAAACCACAAACGAAGTACAAAATATCCATTAAGATAACAAGTTTTCAGTAGTTGTAACATTTTCCCATGCCAAACAGCCAGCCAGCCAGCYAGCTAGTCAGGCAGCAGCCAGCAGCCAGTCGACCCCCTTGCAGACATTTTTCTGCCTTTTTAGTGCCTTTTAGCTAGGACAGGGTGGTTGCTGTTCCTTCTCCTGCTCCTACTCCTGCTGCTGCTGCGGCTGCTTTCTGTCAGCGCAAAAAGTTCTGGGGCCCAGACCAACGTCTTGTGCGCCTTGGCGCGTTGCCAAAGTGACGCTCTTAGGCATTTTTAAATTTGAAAGGAATTCTATTTCGCAGTCTGCGTGTAGCAAGCTCAAAGTTCCAGTTCCTTCCCCAAAGTGCTAGCTGTAATAGAAAACCTCAAGAATGTCCTTGTTAAAACATTAACGTTAGCCAAAGCCTAGCAAATCAATTACAAATAGCCTTTGTTTTGCTCGTGGCTGTGACTATGTGTGTATGTGCGGCTCGTGTCCAGTTCCGTACAAGAAACGTGCATCAAATGCAGCGGCCGCTGTTGCCTTGTTATTTAATGTCCTTGCTCATTAGCGAGCCGTGGAATACATCGATGGCATCCGGAAACAAGTTGGCTATCGGCAGAGACAAAACATGGCTGGCTGAGTGTGTTTGTAGATTTGCGCGTGTTTGCCACTAAAAAGCTAGAAAAAATAAGCTCGAGTGCTTAGGACAGAGCTGCTTGACTAGCTGATGCTCTGTAAGGGCAAGAGTGCCAGTAGCTCTTCTCCTTTTCTATTCTCTTCAAAGTGTTTTACTTGTGCCCTTCCTGCAGTTCTCGGCAAATTGTATAAATCGTATATATTTTATGTATATGCAGCTGAGCTGTGATGCATGAGCATCTGCACTATTCAAACGATAGTAGCTCTCTTTATGTTCGTATTATGAGGTCGGAGTAGCATGATCAAGCTGTTCGGCTGTAAAAACGAATACAGAGAATCTCTTTACAATATAGATCTCTTACGATGGGAATTTAATGTGATGTAAAATTAAAGCTGACGCGCTTATATTATAGTGTTTGCAGTAGAGCCGAGATTTGATTTTATTTTGTTTATTTTTAATTTCTTTGAATTAATTATTTATTTTTTTATCTTGTTGAAAATGTTGATAGTTAGAGAATTTATGAGAAATTATATATTAAATAATATTNAAAACAAAATGGGAAAAGAGTAGAAAGAAAATGGTCGTAAAAATCAAATGAAAATCGATTGACGTTTAAGTTGAAATTGCACAATGTTTGCAATAAAATGTTGGCGCTGTAAAATATCGCCAGAGTCGAGCTGCTGCAGTCGCCGCATGACCAGCGTTGCCACACTGGCCAAACATGTTTGCGCGCTGCTGAAATGACGTAGATAAAAACGCAATCAAACAACAAAAATGTCCTCGCTGTGTGTGCGTGGCATTCGGCAATGCCATATGTTTGTATTTGTATTTCTTTTTTTTTTTTTTGAATGTGTGCGAGTGAGTGTGTGTGTGTGTGTGTGTAAATGTGTGTGAGTGAGTGTAAATGCACTCGAGCACGCGCAGCGGCGATGAAAGCCACGATAACGATAGCAACAACAACAGTTTTAAGATAAAAACTCACTTCGGCCTTTGAACACTCTGAAAATTGCACTTGGAGAGAGATGCAATGCATACACATACATACATATGTTGAGATTTGTTTTTATATGAAATGAAAGCCTTTTTTGGCATACATATTTAAAGCTGGCTACTTATACCTTAATATTAAATAATATTAATATTAAATGACAACATTATTAAACTTTTAAATTTTATTTGGTTTTAAGAAAAAGGAAAATACTTATTGGTATTTCGTGTTTCCCTACGTCTCTGTCATCCTGTTGCATACATTTTAGGAGAAACCATCTAATCTGTTCACCCCAAATTCAATTGGGAATAACAAGTAAAAGTACTCTAGTTGACAATAAGCTCGACTAGAAGATACCCTGAACGGCCCTTGCCACTCGCACATTTCTATTAAAGCTCAGATACCTCGTTTATTCAATTCCATTCGTACAAAAAGTTGTCGGATTTGGCCTTCTGGCTGCAGCCAAACGACTGTTGCGGATTGGTTGGGCATTTTTGTTGCTTTTTCATTTTCATTTTCATTTTTTTGTAGGGTTTAGAGCTGTGTTTGTATCATGGAAGTGTCAAGGGTTCGATTGGGGTCTGCAGATTGCATAATCTATACACCATAAAGATTGCCTTGTGTTGGCACGCGATAGGAAACTGGTTGCTTGCGCGGCGACAATTAAATTGTTTTGGCTTTGTTTGAGCGCAAATTGTGCAACAAAACTTTTGCGGTTGCCAAGAAAGCTAACAACAATGGCAGGAAGTAGCAGTAAGAAGTTGCAAGCTGCAGCTACTCGGGGGCTGCAGCATAATTAACAAAGCGCTCAGCAGGGCGCATAATTTTATCCGCTGCCAGTTCACAGTTTGCAATATTATGCAGCTTCGCAGCGGTCTGGCCAAATGCGAAAGTTTCGCCAAAGCCAAAGTAAAGTAGTTGCCTTAACGCCCCTGGAGCTAACCGACTGAGACCGTCAAGATCGAAGCGTAGCTTGGGGACAGCAGCAACGGCAGCGACAGCGGCAAGAGCTAAAGTATTATGGGGGCCAGTGGCTGGGCCAGTGCATATGCTTGGGGCTTGTGTCAAAGTGTGAAAAAGTTTCGAGCGTCTTAATTAAATTTTATACAGAGCTGCGAATTATGCGCCAAATTTTGTTGAGGGTGATGGCAACTTTTTAAAAGTGACAGCTGCACATGAGAAAAGCCAAAGCGTAAAAGCCAGGTGTAATGGGAGGGGGCAGAGGGGTGGCTGGCACTACAATTTCATTTGAGCCAACTAATTACTGAAAACTTGCTGCTGCTTATAAAGTATTTCCCTTTTCTGGCCTTATTAATACCCTGAACCCATTTTCAATGGGAAATCAGGGTATAATGGTTTTGTTAAAACTATGTAACATGTAAAAGGAGGCGTGACAGACCCCACCAAGTATATATTTGATCAGTGCGACGAGCTGAGTAAATTTAGCCCGCCCGTCTGTCCGTCCGTCTATCCGCCCGTTTGTATGAAAGCGTCGATATCAGAGCTAGAGAGTTGAAATTTATTTGCTAGGTCCGCACATATCGAATTTTTCTCCAAAAATCGATAACTACCCTCGATATTTTATTGTCGAATAAAAACCTTATGGAAAATTGGTTATTTTTATTATATCTCCTACTCCTTTAGAGCTAGAGCTTCCAAATTTTAAATGTAGACTCATGTATTTTATAGAATCAAGCAGTGGCCTCTCGAGGTCAAAACCCTCTTAAGGTCACCGCCCTCTCGAGGTCATTGACCCCTCGAGATCATTGAGATGTATGTGTGCATAAACGAAACGCAAAATGATTCGAGTTTTAGCTTGGAGAGTTCAGGGTATCTCCTAGTCGAGAAGTTTTCACTAGAGCCTTCTTGTTTTTTTCTTCTGTGTATTAAATTGAATTTGTGCTGAACAGACAATTCATTTAAAATCAATTTGAATAACTTTCATCTGCAATACAAAAGTAAATTACTTTTTAATTAAATTAAAAATAATTACAAATGTARCAGAACATTAAATATGTATATATGTAAATATTTGAATGAAAATCGTTGACAATTAAATCAATTGATTTTTTACAGAAAATGTTGAGCAGAGAAAGATTTTGTGACTGGCAGCTGGAAAACAACTTTATATACACTACTAATATACCCTTCCTGCTATTCAGAATACTTCTGCCTGATAAATATGCCTGAAATAGTTTCCTGCCTTCATTACGATGCGAAGCAGGCGTTGCTCAAGATTCCAGATTCCATAGATTTATATGAGCATAAAATGCTATAACAATTTCCCGAAGGCTTTAAAGGACATACACGCGCGTCAGTGTGTGTTAATGTGTATGTGTGTGTGTGTGTTTGTTAGCTGGTGTGCAATTTCCGTTTAAGTGAATAATCGCAATAATCTCGTGCTGTGCTCTGACCATATGAATGCCGGCTCTGGCTGTGCCTGGACACACATCTTGGCCCTTAATGAGGCTACCAAAACAATTATGTGTCCTGCTCAACTTTCTGCTGCACGCTGTGTGACATTATTAATATTTAGGTCTGCTATTTAAGTCAGACACGAATACACACAAATACATACAAACACATGCACACAAAGTAATAAATAATTCATACTGTGGGCTCAATTATGTATAATTGAGCGTTTGTAATAGTTTAAGCACATTTTAGTCCTTGTATATGTATGTATGTGTATGCATATGTATATGTGTATAAGTATATGTACTTTTTTCTCCCCTTTTGCACATTCGTTTTTGTCACTTAACCACCATTTGCACTTTTCCTAAATGCAATAATTTATTTTAGTATATTTTTTGTCGCGCGCATAACTATAATTTATTATTATTATTTTTGCTCTGTGGCTGCCTTTTGGGCATTGTGCCAACTATTCATATTTTTATCAGACCTCGCAGGTGTGCAAAAAAATTGCAAAAACTATGTAAATGAAATATACAACTGTTGCCTAATGCACAAATACATTTAGATACATTGATATTTTTTCTACGATAACTTAACGCAAATACAACAAAATTTAAACGGACTCCCTCAGCTATGGAAATTCGCTTATAATACAGCTCTTTAAATGACACTTTTGATGGCATTCTGTGCGTGTATTCGATCAATTTGCGTTTAGTTTGAAGTTGAAAGTTTCACTTTTATCTACAGCTGCCAAGACGGAAGAAAAGTTTTCTCACTATTTATTTGAATGCTGCTCGTCTAGCCATTGGCGCCGGAAGTTTCAATGCAACAGCAGCAGCAGCAGGGGCAACCGGAAAAAAACTAAAGAAAATTGAAAGTTTTTGATTTATAAACGCGAAAGTTTATGCGCTTCATTCGACAGCGTTAAATATTAGGTATACCCCAACAGAGAGTATGCTGAACGTAAGAAAAGAGTTGCTGCTCAAAGTAATTCTATTAGGGATGAAGTCCATTCGCTTATAAATGACAGGGTATTGAAGCTGTTTGATATTTGTTTAAGAGCTCAGTCATAAATACCTTTGTGATGCTAGGGTATTGCTACAAGCCAGACACTGCTTTCATTTTTGCGACAGTTTGCTTTTCGAGGAGTTTACTGACTTTGGAACTGGCATTGTATAGATTCGCATTGTCCAGATATGAAGCCGAATGGCAAAGTTTTGTCATCTTTGTCACTTGGGTAGTAGCAATAAGTTGCAATGCTGGCCATTTGTGGAGATCATTTATAAGTAGAAAACATTTTTGAGTTGGGCGTAATCAATTCCATGATACTCGTTCATAGCTGAGCATCCGGCGATGTACAACTGTAATTGAATAGCAACTTTCGGCTTCATCCCGCTGCTCTGCCAATAAATAGGAAAATCACGACTGACCCATTCCAACTTCAATTCAAAAGTGATTTTTTTGGGGGAACATAATGAGAGTAAGTTACATTGATTACTTTCCATTAATTCTTTTACGAGCAAAGCAGTAATTCAAGTCCCTTGTCAAACATAGAGATTAATAACAATGAGCTATGTGCAACAATTAGATATCCATGCCTTAACTACAACTATTTTTGTGGTTACTGAATCCTTACAGAATGTCAAAATTACCAGATCTAAGACTTAGGAAACTCCCATTCGCCAAACTGGTAAAACACATACATATATTTATTGCCGTGACATTTTTAATATTCTACTGAATACGCTATTATCCATTTTAAATAGCTTCATCTGTATTTATGTTGTTCAAAATATATTTATTTCCCCTTTGACACACCCTCAATGGACGTCTAGCTTCAATACAGCCACGAGGGGAGTGGTGCACAACAAGACTTTTGCAACATAAAACCAATACACTCTTTTCACTTTGAAATCAAAAGAGAGAGAAAGAAGGAGAGCATAAAAAACTTCCTGGCAGGGCATTCAAGTCAAAGACAACAAAGCTTTGGCATTTATTTTATTAAAATTGCATTACAATAAGCAGAGTGAATGCAATTTAAACGAGATTAAGTATACATTCCGTGTGCAATGCTGTAGTTGCATTTTACGCTCTAGTTCGCTGCATTATATACATACATACTATATATGTACCATATTTATACAAAATTTTTCTGATGCATTACAGCTGAGGACAGATGGAGGTTGACTAAAGGACTGTTCAATTAAATTGTCAGCAAAAGAGAACAAGCCGCAACATGTCAACAATTCACTGGCCACACTGTTGGACACAATCTGTCACTAATATCAACGAATTTTATTTAAAGCTCGCTGCATGCTGTGTGTGTATGTGTGTGTGTTGAGGAAATTGTTGTTAAGATATTTACACATGAGATTTATCGCGGCCATTTGCTTATTGACAGCTCTGTGCGGAGCGTGACAAGACAGATATCCAATACAATAACAGACAAAGATGAAATGTGGGCGAAGTGGAGGGCCATTTGAGTAATTTATCATAGCCACATGCAGGTTAGGTTTATGTATAGCACACACCTGTGGCTATCCATCAATCAATCGAAATTTGACTTTCCGCCTCTGCCAATGCTGAGAAGATGTTGGAGCGAACGAAAATTATGTTTGAGCGCAGTGAATGGGAATCAGTTGAAGTATTAAACAAATTGAAAAAGTTTTCTTTCCCTAAGCCTTCGATATTATTTAAATCCGAATTTTCTCTGTTAAAGGTGTGCCTGCCATCTAAATATATATGTATATATTATCTGTATATATATGTGTGGATTTTATGTTAACTTTGGGCTACCACAAGTCTGTTTAGGGCTTAAAAGTTTTTTTTTTTAAACTGTTTTTGGCCTTTTCGCCTAAAATAATGAAAAGGCGCTGCGACTGCGACTGCGACTGCGACTGCGACGACTACTCTTGTTAAGTCCACAAAGGCAAAAAGGGGTTAAAAGCAAAAACTGAGCTGCGTAAAATGTTCGAAATTGAAAAGCGCTTTTCCCCGGCCAGAGTTTTGCGGCCAGTTGCAGTTGTCGAGTGGAAAACTGTTAAGTGCGTACTCTTGATTGCAGGAGCCGACAAATGGTGCCCAAGTGAAGCGAAACTTAATGACACAAAGCGCACTAATTTAGCTCTCTCACTCCCAATCTGTGTCGCACTTTTCACTTCACTTCTCTTCTGTCTATGCAGATTAAAAAAAAAAAAAAAAAAAAAATTGGAAAATGAAAGGCGAATTATTGTAATCCACTTAAAATTCAATCAATCACAGCACTCGGCACTCGGCACTGCACTCGTTTTAATGGCAGCCAAAAATTTAACAACTAAGTGCAATCATCGACAATTCGAATTGCAGAGAGCCTCGATTCGATGTCGATGAGAGTCCCTTTATAGAGATGGCAAATGAGAGACTGTGAAATTAACTGGGGCTGCCTTTGCAGCTGGTCTCTATCTAGGGAGGCTTAAATCTCTTTGTCAAATATAGGTGAGAGGGATTTTCTTATTGATTTCTGTGTCTCTTAGATCAAAGAAGTTGGTGCCCTAAATATACCTTGATTCAAGCATATAAATAGACTTGAAGATTCTGTTTGTAGTTGAATAACTTTAAGTCAGTTTAAAAAAACACACCCACACACACACAAGTAAACAGTTCTGATATGAATTTATTTATTTAAGACCTACTAATTCGTCCCATTATAAGTTTTGTCCTTAAATGTGAGGCGCACAGTGCTACAAATGGTTTAAAGGCTGCCTATGCATTAAGATTATTATAATGCCTTTTAAAATATTCAGTCGGCAAACAAAAGCCGCTCAGGTCTCGGGTCTCAGGCCTCTGGTTTCTGGCTCAGTCTCTTTGGAGCTCAATAAATGTGTCTAAAAACTTTGCGAATGTAATGCGACTCGGGGGAATACAAATATTCAACTTGGTAAATACGTAAATATGACAAATACAAAAGGCGGCCGCTGTAGTAACAAAGCAGCAGCAGCAACAACAACAACAACAATAACTCTGACCAATGGGAATAGCAAATGAAAAACAAAAGCAGAAAAACTCAACTCAACTCAAATAAACTGAAATCTGAAATCTGAAATCTGTTTGTTATAATGCTACGATTACGTTGCTCTTACTGTCACGTACATATAAAAGTTAGCATAGAATGCTACACAGAGAGAGTGAGGGAGACACAGTGGTCGAGGGGGAGAGCGAGTGGCAGTGTTGTGCAAATATTGTTGAAGCTAAAATATTTGTCAGACGCATTTAACACGTATACGCCCCCATGGTAATCACTGTATAATACGAGTCGAGCCAAACAACACTCGGTGTATTTGCATTGTCATTTGTTAACAAAAGACAAGCTGAAATGAAGCTGCTGCCGTAGAGGGTTTAACTAATAAATACATACTCTACTCTGCTCGCACAGCCGAGTGTGGAGTGTGTTATATGACATGGCCATTATCATTGTGTGCAGTCTGTAAAACAGATGCAAGGACATCAGCACAATAAAGCAATGCATCCGAACAATAATTTCAAATACAGCATTGGATAGTTGATGCCGCAATTAAATGTAAATCGATTGGTTAGGCAACACCCATACAATCAAGTGCGGAAGCCTGTCTCTCTGTGCGTATATGTGTGTGTGTGTGTATAGTCCAACATACTCAAATGCTTTGTACGGCTGACTCCTGCAACTGATGGCCAGCACATGGTGTGGGCTATGAGGTATGCGATTTGTATGCAGCTTATGTAATTAATTGAAAATTATTGTGCAAATGTCAGGGGCGCTTTGTTAAAGACGCAGCTGCATTTTCTGACAGCGGATTAAAGAGTTTTATACGTACGTACGCCAATGCCAACTAATTCAGCTCAGTTGTTCGGCTCGACTCAAAACCTATTCAAAAATGCCCAGAATTATTCGCACGTAAAACAATAAATTTTCATAATAGCCTCGCAACTAACCCCATACCGCTCAGCATCCAACTGACGCCCACACATGTTTTGGGGCCACGCCCCTTCGCCATTGGCCAGTGGCCACGTGTAAAGTGCAAAAGCGCAACATCAGCGAAATGGTTCAAATGCCGAGCGCAGCAGGAAAGCGGGCAATCCCAGCGACCAGCGACTAGGGCCAACTGAGGGGGCGAGCTAAAGATTACCGTTATTTGTATGCAAAGCAGCAGCCCAAAACCGACAACAACAACGGCAGCAACAACAACAACAGCATTATGCGACAGTGCAAGCCAACTGCCATTCAAAGTCAGACAGGAGCAGGACATAGTGTACAGGAGGCAGTAGAACGAGTCCAATCCTTGCTGCAGATGGCAACTGTCAGACAGAGACGAAAGTCGACAGAGCGAGAGAGAGAGARACGTGTTTCAATTTTTATGACATTTCAATGCAGTTTATGTCAGCGCAACGAGACAACGGGCCAACGAACTGAGAGATGAGTTCAGCTCGGGCAGTGGGCAGCGGGAAAGCGGACAGGGGGCAGCAGGCGAAATACCTCGTTATATTTTTGACAATTCAAATTTAAGCTTGAAGCCAAGCTATGGTATGTGCAACATATTTTTGTTGGACACTTTGCAACACAGTTCAATTCAATTGTAAATTGTAGTAGAGCAAGTAGACCTTGGCTGTGTGCTCATCTCATCGCCGGACATAAAATGTTGGGGGCATGTGTTTGATATTGCGCATACGCCGTGTGCTCGACAACAGTTAACATTGAGCCAGGTCATCAAAATGATAAGCGTTTGACTTTTATTTGCATATCAAACGCATTAGACACATTTATGTGACCTTTGACGGGAGCACCGGCTGCACATGTCGGCCATAATATTGAGCTGTGCTTAAGGAACTCGAACCGTACGTACCTTGAGCTCATTTTAAAACATTTCAGCACGGAGCACTTTTATTTTTATTTATTTTTTTTTGTGGAGCTGAACACATTATTTATGGCTTGTACGTTTTGTATGTTTCATGTTTGCAACTTTTGTTGTGCTTTTAATATGCAACATAAAAAAAACACACATATACATATGTATATACGTTATGCTCATGTATTATTTATGAGAAGCTTGCTGCTAAGGTGTGCTCTAATGTGTTCAAGGAATATGTAAGTTTTCGACGATATTTCTATTTGGTTTTGTTTGCTAGAAATTGTGATAGCATTATGCGTTGCCGCGATATCTTTAATTCCTATAAAATATTCGTCGAGACGTATGAGCAACGTGTGGGCGTCTGAGTGGCTGGAATCTCTTGCGAGCAGACTAGCGTACGGCAAGAAAGAGCATCATCAACGGCAGCTTAAGTAGCTCAATAAATCTTGAGCTTAACATTTGCTGATGCTTCCAGCAGTTGGTGAACGTGACTGGAGTGCGACACATGCTATAAAGGTCGCATCGAGTATCTGTTTGAGTGGGCGCCGCAAAGTATGCAGTAATATTTTACAAATGTTACATCCAAATGCAGAAGCTTCAAGTGATGCCCGCCACCTGAACGTAGGCCAGCAGCCGCCTGGTCAGTTGAGTTAGAAAGGGGGCGAGTTGTCAATTGAAACCTCCAAGTTGGAAATACACATCAAATATGCAAATTACTGCAAATGGCTTTATCAAAGTCAAGTTCTGCGCCATCTCTCACTGTTGGCATTTGTAATTAAATTTAATTAAAAGTCTGCGCGCATTCCAACTCGAGCAGATAAATGCCAAGTGAACCTGAGCAGCTCTGCCCAAGTCCATTCGTCACACGGCGCTCACTTAAACAATTCAGTTATTCAAATGAAGCCGCCGTCACAGCAACTAGAGCAGGCAGAGCAACAAGACAGCAACCAAAAAAAAAAAAAAAAAAAAAAAGAAGTGGAATAGAAAAATAAAATTATCAAATACCCGCTTCACAGTCACTTGGCCGCGGATTATTTTAATTCTGTTCATTGTGCATACAAAGATAAAAGGTGAAAAATCTAAATGAATTTTTAATGCGATTCAAGCGTTGGCCAACAAAATAGAAATGGTTTAAATAGCAGCTAGAATACGCTGGTTAAATTCAATAAAGAATATTAACACAAATTAAACATAGATATTTATTAATTTCTTCTCTTTTTGTATTCTCTTAGCTCAACTTAGTTTTCCCAGACAATTAGTCTCGCATTTCACTTCGCAAATTCTCACAACATGCTTTATGGCCAGTTGGCAACCTGGGCATGGCCTGCCAAGGAGGCTTATGTGTTGCCCTTTGTGGCTTAATCGGTTTTTGGGCAACTTGAGTCGCAGTGGGGCTTGATTTGCGGGCTAGGTCAACTGATTGGCGGCGTCATGTCCTTTGATTTCCCAGGCGTCCACACACCAAAGCGCCAGTGTTAGCCTGTCATAAAGGGCACGACGTGAATGTCACATGACCCAAAACGTTTGACTATCTGCTCCATTTGCTGGTCAATGTGTGAGACAAATCAGCTACAGCTACATCTACGGCCACATATGAGATGAGATTTCAGTTAGTGAATTACAATTGTTGTGGCTTTAAGAGTCAGAGCCAAAATAGTTAACTATTTGTCTCTCGCCCAGTCCAGTCGCTCGCCCCGCACGGAACAAATGCGTCAGGGACCGCATGACTTATGTGCTAGTTAAATAAATTTATGCTCTGTGATTTTCACATAAAATTGATTTATCACATTAGCCACAGATAGAGGGAAGTTCCGGAGTTGGCTTCATTTCATGCTCGTTGGCTTTTTGGCTCATCAATTGCCCGAGTCGAAGGTTTGCCGTCGCTTTGACAATATGCGATAGTAATGGAAATGCCAGACATATGAAATTGCATTAGATGTACCCCAAAAGAGGTGGCCATAAATTTTAGTGGACGACAGTAAGGTCACGGCACAGCACAGCATAGGATAGCATAAAAAAAATGGTATACAGCTTGGGTTAAGCCACCGCAAAGAAGGGTTAATGGTGCGGTTTTCATTTTTTTTTCGCTTCTGTTTTTGCAACAGAATTTATAACGATTCTAATGAAATTTGAGACAGCAAAATATGTCGGCAGCGAGATGTGGAGGCATGCCGAGCGGCGGTAAGCGCATTTATTTCAATTCATATTTTATTTTTAGTTTTTGACGAATCCTTGAGCTGGCCGCTAGGGATAATCAACATAATGAGTGAAGCGCATTGGAGCGAGCTATCTCAATGGACTGCTCCAGCAGCAGCAGCAGCAGCAGAAATGTACGAATAAACAAGGCGAAGACGAGTTGTGTCAGAAACAAATGCTTTTCATTTCAAATGCAGCTGTTGCTGGGGCTAACCCCTGGGGGCCCATGTTTCTTATCCTTTTTGCAAGCAGCAGCAGCAACAACAACAGCTAAACACSAAGACACATAGCTGCTTGAAGGACAACAGATGTTTCACTGCGGCAACTCGTGTCGCTCACTATGTTGAATAACGTAATATATCCTGAAATCGTCTTGAAGGCGAAGCCGGAGCAAAGGGAGATCGCAAGACGGCTGGCGAAGCTTAGGGCTTGGGCTACCGAAATGCTTGTGGTTTGGGCATTAGTGGTATATTAGGTACTAAATGAGTTCACATATTTGCAAACAGCTGGCCAACAACAATTTTTTAAGTCGCTAATTGTATGGTCTCCAAAGAGGGTTAACACGCCTAGGTCTTAACGGAAATAAATTGTATCAAACTAAAGTTTCGTAAACTTTTCGCATGATGGAATATTTGATTATAATTAAGTATGCTTATAAATAAGGAAAAGTTACACATACATACATATATGAGTAAACATATAGGTATGCGATTTAAAAGGTAGAGATACTTTTATGCTACACTGTTTGCTTTAAATTTGATTTGTATATAGAAAAACGAACTCCCTCTGCCAGAGAAGAGAAATGGGCGTAAAATACGTGTACGTACGCATTTGAGCATTAGCAGGATTTGTGCCGCTCACACACACGGACACACACGACACACATTCACACACGCAGACCTTGAGCAAGTGGCATAAATTGTATGTGCCATGTGGCAATAGCCGTCTCTGTGTTGGTACAGAATCTATGCTTAGTTCTCCCCAAGGCAGCAGCTTGCCTCAAGGCGTTTATCGTTTGTAAAATTCGAGATTTGCATGCATTTACTTGTCATAAAAAAAAGAGCGAAGAAACGAAGCTGGCAAATGTTGAAAGAAATAACGCAATGTGTTTACATGTTTATGTGCGAAGGGAAACGAGTGTAAGATTACCCATACGCAATGTTGTCGGGCCACTTTGTTATACAATTCCAGCGCTAGCATTCTTCACTCCACATAGTGCGACAAAATGTAGTAAAGCAAAGAATTTGCTTAAAGCCGAATACGACTTTAAGCCCAAAATACTTACACTTACTTACACTTTTTGTATATATTGCATGACTCCAGCAATTAAAAGCAACACGTCATAAAACTTGGAGCACACGAGGTTAGATTTTGTGGCACTTGGGTTTATAATTTAATCTCTGCGCTGTCAACAAATGTGCTTAATTACGTTTTCACTTACGTGGCGCTGCTTATGTGCTCTGAGCATGCCATGAGAATCAGCTTTAAATGCATGCTTAATTCCAAATTGTCATACAAAATGGAAGGGCAGGGAATATGTTTCATTCGAGTTGCGTTTTCAGCTGATTACGTTGATAATTAAATGTCATAAATGCAATTCAATTAATTACCTGCAAGATAAGTTCCTCTAAAAATTAGTTTATTTATCTGCACAGACATATACATATACATATGTACATATATATTCATGCTGTTGAACAACAAAAGTGCAAAACTTTTGCGCAGTCGAAAAACTATGGCAGATAATACAGACATAATAAAAGTTTTTGCCTAAACTGAACTGAAACTATGCAGAAAATTGAGTCAAAAGTCATGAAAAGTTTATATGCATGCGAATTGTTGTTTAGTTAAGAGCGAAAGGACATTGTTTTGAATTCCCAAATTTTCGGGAGGCACAGCAGTCCCGAGAGTCAACTCTTTAAATATGCCATGAAAACCGAGTATTCTTTAAGAGCTCCCATTCAAGAATTTACTTTAATTCACTCTGCTCACAGCTCCCATCACTGTCCTCTTAATTCACATCAAGCTCTGCTTTGCTCTGCGCTGCAAATGATCTGTCATAGACAAGCTATTAAGGGACTCCTTTATAATTTAGCTAATCAGCTGGTTTACCCTTTCAAAACAACAGA